GTAGTGAGGAGGGCATTTCCTGTAAGATCCTTTATGCACGCCTGGGCTCTCTATACCACTGCACTCTGCACACAAAGTGGTTGCAGAGGGGTAGAGGTTGTCATACATTTCCTGCTGGAATGTCCCTTTGCAAAGGAAGTCTGGAGAGAGATGCAGTGGTTTTTGTCGAGGTTCATCCTGAGCAGCTCCATGGTGCGGATTCTGTGTTCTACGGTCTATTCCCTAGAACACATGCAGAGACAAATATTGACTGAGCCTGGAGGATCAACTAAGTGAAAAACGCTCTTTGGTCTGCCTGAAACTTGTTGGTCTTCCAGTGCAAAGAGTTGACCTTGACCGAATGTTGCAGACTGGCACATTCCAAAGTCCAGGACTACATGCTGAGGGACGCACTAAAGCTTGGGGCAGCTGCTGCCAACGCACATTGGAGAAAGACCACCATTTAAGGTCTTTCTGCCAAAATTAACTGGGGTTCCATTCAGTTATCCGGCCCTCCCTGTGCCTCAAATATATGTAAATATAGTCATCTACGAGAAATGCCTTTGATTTGTTTGTTGGATAGAGTCAAACTGCAATGTTTGTTTGTTTCTTCATATGTTACAGTACAGAATTGAATTGCTTTAGTGACTGTGTATTTATGTAAAGATATTTTTATGAATGAAGGATGGCTTGCCAGTAGTCTGTCCTGCCTGTCTTGACATATATTGAAAGAGTTGGTAGTTGACCAGTTTGGTCTTGTTGTGAACACACTTTCCCTGGCCATCAAGTCATGGTGTGAAATTTTGACTTGGAGCTTCTGGTTCAGAACTGGGGATGTTATTCATGGCACCGTAAGACCCCTGGATTGCTTCCACCCTCATCTCTTTTTTTTCTACTGCCAACAACAAAAAAAGAAACGGGACTGGGATTGTTTTTTGCTCTCCCTCAAAGACTGCCTAAGCCCTCCTGCCCCAGACGTAATAAGAAGAAAGGAGAGGTGCCTCAAAAACTCCTCACTTCTATAGTCTGGGAGGGCACTAAATTATACTCATTGTATCTAGTCATTAACTGTGTAAAAGTAGCTTCAAAGTTGATTTGCTTGCAGCAAAGTACAGGAATAATTAATTGCTTTTATTAAATGAGGCACTGAGTAACTAATTCAGTATTCAGACTTTCTTTAGGTCATAGAATTTAATTATCCTTTCACATTTTCAGTTATAATCCATCCTTGCAAAGTTGGACAATTCTCAACTAATCTTTATCCCGACATTAGCAATCCTATAGCGCCACCAGGTGTTCGTAATTGGGAACACACAGACCTGTGTCTCCAACTTTAATAGCACCCTGTATCAACTGTGGATTTAACAATCTCTCTTTGCAGACCACTGTTGCTTTCTGCCTTTGAGAGCGTTTGTTCTTTTCTATTATTTTTCAGGAATTTTAGTATATTATTTTCATTTTAACAATTTTGCAGTAATAGCAAGTTTCATGACTTGGTGCAGGAGCAGTGGTCTAGTTTACAGAAAGAATTTGGGGGACACCAGCAGAACTTTCTGTTAATAAGGAGTAAATTTTACAGCATCCAATGTTTTAGCATGTGCAATTCAATTCAGGAAGTTATTCACAAGTTACCATTTTCTTTCAGAAGCTATACTATATCAATTTCTTGTCAAGAAGTTCAGTATTCAGAAACATGAAGGGTGTGAAGTTGCTGTATTTACCAATATTGTAATACCAATATTATTTTCATTGTCAGAAAGAAAAACAAGATTTGTTAATTCAAATGTATGAATTTTCGAAAGCATCTTTTGAGTTTTAATTTCAGTCACTCAACCTCTTTGTCATTGAAAATTAGCATTATAAGTGTGGAGTTGCATTACTTCAGATTTTAAATTAAGTTGGAAGACTTGAGAGAATTTTTAAACTTCTTTACATTTCTGTCTTGCATCTCTCTTCTGCTCTTTCCATCTCTTTCTTCTTTCTGCACATGATTTTGCATTGGAGTAACTATTCTAATTTGCATTTGCTGGATTAGACCTTCTGACTGTTCTACATGGCTCCACATTTTACATATAGATGCCACCTTAAGGCCCTTGAGAAGAACCGTCAATGCTGTTTGAGATGGATTCTTTGCCTCAGCTGGTTGCACAGGCTTCCTAACGTCATCATCTTTCAAGAACCCAATAGCACCAGCATCGAGGCCTCTTTCATCCGAAACCAACTCCGCTGGGATGGCCACACGTTTTAGGATGCCCAAGTTCCGATTGCCAAAGCAAATCATCATTGCCCCGCTCAAGAAAGGTTCTTGAACAAGAGGAGGCCCAAGGCAGTGCTTCAAAGACTCCATGAAGGCTTACCCAAGAAATGAAATGTAGACATCAACATCTGGGAGTACCTTGCTAGGAAGCAACTGACTCGGAGGAACCTCCTATATGAAGTGACACAATTCTTTGAAAACATCCATTGGCAGAAGGAAGTACAGGAAATAAACCTTAGAAAGGAATGCTAGTGATCTCAAGGCAAAAGACCATTCCACGTCCTGAAATCATCTGCCGATTGTGTGGTTGGAGATGCAGTTGTAGGATCAGGGTCATCAGCAATGTAAGGACCCACAGAACTGAAAAAGACATAGAAAATCCTAGGTGGACAATCATACTTATTAGTGAGTGAGTGCTCATGAGGAGGAGCTTAGATTGTGTGTCAGTCTGGTTTAGGGGACTCATCAGTATTTGCCCTGTTTATACTAGTCTTGGATCTTCTGAAGTGGCTATCACTTTGCTTCAGTTCTCTAAGTACTGCAGGTGACAATGAAAAAGCGTACAGAATATCTGTGGTCGAGTGTTAATGTAATGAACAGCAAGCACCTTCTGTTCATCACTGACTGCAACATCCGAGATCAATAATATTTTCAATTCCAAGAAGAAATTTAGTCAAGAGCGGGATCAGTGATTAATTAAGTAAGGATCTTGTGTGATTTCCTAGGAGGGAGATGGGCTGTTAATTGTACACTTACATTATATTGCTTGTACAGTACCAAATCCAAAGCTTTATAGTGCAAGTCTGACATTAGGGCTCTAGTTTACTTTGCAGTCAGATCAGGTCATGCTCAGGGTTTACACTAAAACTTTAACATTTTGTTAAACAAAAGGATTTCACTAATACTTCCACTATAATGAGAATATCTCTGATTGAAACTCATGTTGGGAGCTGTCTGCGTTGTTTTAGTTCGGGTCTAGTATAAATAATAGATATGCTTCCTTCATGAGATGTACATTGGGAGTCTCAGTTATATATTTAGTATTAACTACGTGGCTACGTGTAGTACTTGCCAGGAAAGTGAAATTGAGTTTTATCAGATTAATCATGATCTCGTTGAATGGCTGAGTAGACTTAAAAGGCCAAATGGCCTACTTTTGCTCCTACATCTTATGGGCTTATGATCTTGTCATGTACGGTGGGGTGGGGGAGGAATAAAAGCGAATAAACACATTTCATCATCGTAGAATCATAGAATCCATACAGTGGGAAACAGGCCATTTGGCCAAACGAGTCCTCACCGCCCCTCGGAACAGCAACTGACCCAGACCCAGACCCATCCCCCTACCCTTTCCCTGTCACCCTGCATTTCCCATGGCTAATCCACCTAACGTGCACATCCCTGAACACTATGGGCAATTTAGCAGGCCAATCCACCTAACCTGCACGTCTTTGGACTGTGGGAGGAAACCGGAGCACCCGGCGAGAACACGGGGAGAACATGCAAACTCCACATAGACAGTTGCCCGAGGGTGAAATTGAACCTGGGTCCCTGGCGCTGTGAGACAGTAGTGCTAACCACTGAGCCACCATGCTGCCGTAATTAACATTTGTTAATTATGGTTTGCTGTTTCATCAATCATTTATGAAAAATAGTAATGTCTATAAAAACATTCCTTGTCTTTCTTTACAGAATTATCACATGGGGTGTTATCTATGACAGGCCTTAGGCAGGGTGCTGAGAAAGTTTAAAGGAATTATATCAACAATGGACGACTCTGGTTGTGTCAAGAACCCATAAAAACTGGGGTCATTCTCTTTAATCTTCCCAGTTCCTAAGAGGAAATTTGTTAGAACTGTTCAGGATCATGGAGGGTCTCAATAACGTAAACAAGGAGAAACTGTTCAGTGGCCGAAGGATTGGTAGCTGCAGAAATTGTCTGAAAAGGTAGTAGGAAGCAGATTTGGTAACAACTTTCTGAAGGAAATTGAATAAATAGTTGAAGGCTGAACTTTTTCTGTGTTAAAAGTGAAGAGCAAAGAAGTGGTACTAATCGGATATTTCTTTCAAAATTCCAGCATTGATGCAATGGGCCAAATAGCGTCCTTCAATGCTATATCATTTTATGATGTTATTGTTAATAATCTGTGCCATCAGCCTCAAGCACACTCTATCAGAGTTCCAGAATGTGCAATTTGTGTCTGTTTATTGTCTACAGCTAAAACTGCTAGATAAGGCCATTATTGTATTGCAGTATTCCCTACATGGCATCTATAACATTGCACTCTGTGTAGATTACTATAAAGATTTGTGCTGTTCCAAAAGCAAAGCTTGACCTTTTTGTTAAACGAGGAATGGCCTATTGGACTACATGACCATGAAAGGTGAATTCTGTGAAGGAAGAAACAGTTGTTTCAAAGTTGCTGGAAAAGCTCAGCAGAGCTGGCAGCATCTGTGAAGGGAAAAACAGAGTTAACGTTTCGGATCCGGTGACCCTTCCTCAGAACTCCTGAGTTCTGAGGAAGGGTCACCAGACCCGAAACGTTAACTCTTTTCCTTCACAGATGCTGCCAGACCTGCTGAGCTTTTCCAGCAACTTTGTTTTTGTTCCTGATTTACAGCATCCGCAGTTCTTTTGGTTTTTATTACGAAAGGTGAATTGCATGACATCACAATTGGGCCCAGTTCATGCTTTCATGATTAAAAAGGAATATCTTCAGTTTTCAAATCATCAGTGGTTTTCTTGTGTGTTTTTATTTTTCAGCTCACGAACATCAGCAAGTTGAAAGATTTTCTTCTGGAGCACAGAAAAGATTACATCAATGCTAGCAGGTATTGCAGTAACCTATAGTTTAATTTTGGTCCTCCTCAAAGGGTCCTAAAACATGTTTTACTAAAAGATTTATTGCTACAGTTCCATTCTGTAACTCTTTATATAGTCTGTCAGTGCTCTGTATCTAGATTGCCTGAGCAAGGTATGCATCCATTTCACAAACTTGGTAGAATGAAAGCGTTGCAATGGAAACCAACTTGTCAACCCCTTTCTTTTAATATTTTCATTGATAATATGAATGTCACTGACAAGATCAGCAATTGTTGCCGTCCCAATTGCCCTTAAACTGAATGTTTGGGGGTTGTTAAGAATCATGTTGCTACAGGACTCGAAGGCTAGGTCAGCTAAGGATAGCAGATTTCCTTCCCTAAAGGGCATTGTAAAAACCCATCAGGTATACTAGTAGTAGATTGTAGTTATCATGCTCAACATTACTGAGATTCCATATTTCTTAACGGATTGTAAGTTCCACCAGCTGCCATACTAGGATTTGAATCCTTGTCTCTAGAGTTTAACCTGGCCACTGCATTACCTGTCCATTACATTATTAGTCCACGAGGTCACTGTCACCACCCCACCCAACCCACCCCAATTGTGGCCATGTTTGGATTGACTAATTCGTAATTATTTATATCCGTACACTTTATGGGTCAACTCCATAATGGTTAGTGTTCATATGGAGCGATGTTTGATCCCTGTAACAGAGGTCTTGCCTGCCACATGGAGAGCCAGCAAGAGCCCCATGTCATCTGTTTTACAGCAGGCTTGCTAACCTGCCAGCCAAAGGTCTTCCCAGGATCACCAACCCAGGAAGGAAGTCCTCCCCTGAGAGCTGCCAGCCAATTAGAGGCCACAAGCTATCGAGTGCAGACCATGCGAGCGGGCACAGTGCCTGCTGTTGGTTATATGGTCCAAGTATCAGGTGATTGAGTGCAGGAGTAGGATTACAGAGTTGGAGGGGTGGCTGTTAGCCTGGTCACTTGATCAGACATTGTGTGCCTTTAAATAAGCCCCCACCTCACCCCACCTCCCTCGGACCTCGGACCCCAGACCCCACCTCTAAGGGCCCAGTCAGCAAACCTGATATGGTTTTGCTTTTAGTGAGTCTGAACCAGTGGCAGGAGAGGGCCTTTAACTTGTCATTATTTGCCCACTTAAAGACATTGTTTGGTGCCGGTGTGGAAAGGTTGTCCACAAACTTTCAAACCCTTGTCTTATTGAGGGTGGAGCCAGGAAGGTGAGAGGGCTCCTACCCCATATCTCCCACTTGATTAAGTGCTACCGCTTCAAATTTCACCTCAGGGGAGAGCATTAAAATTCACCTACAATGTGAACTGAACATTTTGAGACTACTATTTCATTGTTTTGCTAACTTAGAAACAGTAGCAATTTGACTCCCTGCCCGTGGATACTTGATTGAAGGCTGTTGGAATGATGCTGTACAGAAGTCATTGCATCACAGAGAGAAGTCAGAGAAAATTGAAAGAAGACATATCTATTAATGAAATATTTGCCATGTGGGTGCTCTAAAACCCTATTTGTATGGCTTTACCCATAATTAAATAGCTAATAGACAGAAAACAGAGAGTAGGGATGAATGGGTCATTCTCACTTTGGCAGATTATTACCGATGGGGTACCACAAAGATCAGTCCTTTGACCTCAGCTGTTCACAATATATATCAATGATTTGGACATGGAAACCAAATGTAATATTTCCAAATTTACAGATGATACAAATTTAAGCAGGGACGTGTGTTGTGAGGAAGTTGTAAAACATTTTCAAGATGATTTGGATAGGCCTAATGATTGGGCAATAACATGGAAGATGGAATATAATGTGGAAAAATGTGAAGCTATCTACTTTGGTAGGAAGAACAGATGTGCAGAGTATTCCTTAAATGATAAGAAGTTGGAAAATGTAGATGTACAAAGGGATCTAGTTGTCCTTATTAATAAATCACTGAAGGCTAACATGCAGGTGCAGCAATCTATTAGGAATGTTAGCCTCCATTGCAAGAGGATTTGAGTACAGGAGTGGTGATGTCTTGCTTTAATTGTGTAGGAATTTGGTTAGACCGCACGCGGAGTGTGCAGTTTTGGCCTCCTTTTCTCAGGAAAGATATTTTTGCCACAGAAGGAGTGCAGTGAAGGTTTACTAGACTTATTCCAGGATGGCCTAAGAAGAAGGATCATTCAAATTAGGCCTATATCGTCTAGATTTTTGAAGAATGATATGATCTCGTTGAAACCTACAAAGTACTTAAGGAATAGATCGAGTAGAAGCAGATAAGATGATTTCCCTAGTCGGGGAGTATAGAACCAGGGGCATAACTTAACAATAAGGGGAATGCCTTTTAAGACCGAGATGAGGAAAAAATGTTTTCACTCTGATCATTGTGAATCTTTAGAATTCTGTACCTCAGAGAGCTGTGGAAGCCCAGTCATTTAAAGTATATTTAAAGTGTAGGTTGATAAACTTCTGTTTTATTAATGGCCTAAAGGGTTATGGGGATGGTATGGATAAGAGACATTGTCATGTTTGATCAGCCATGATCGTATTAAATGGTGGAGCAGGCTCAACAGGCTGTATTTTCTACTAGTGCTCCTAATTGTCAACAAGTAAATCAAATTACAATGCACAAGAGGTTTAAAGGTATAGTTAATGGTTACTCTGGTACAAAACATGAATTGACAGAGAAAAGACTTGAAAGAAGTAAGAAAATGAAGTAGTCCATTCATTCCAATTCCTTCAGACCCTTTCCTAAGCATTATCAATAGAAAGCAAATCAACACAGTTCTTCAGTTTTGATATACGAACAGAAAATTCTGAAGAAGTTCAGTAAGTCTGGTAATATCTGTGGAGAGACAAACAGAGTTAACATTTTGAATCTGATATGCTTCTTTTTTGACAGTGAGCAACAATGCTCTTTTGAAAGGGATTTAATTAGTATTTAAAACAGTACAGTCTGTAATTTCAGATTCAGCTTAAGAGAGCAAACTGTGAAATTGTGTACTGTACATCAGAGTAACTCTGTAAACATTTTTTAAAGAAAGGGAATGTTGTAGTACACATAATCTACAACAGCTGTTGTGGGTCAGCACCACTAAAATATTGTTGAGAGCCAGAGGCGTATAGAAGCAATAAAATACTTAAATATGGACCTTTGTACACACTGAATATCCCTGAGTATTTCTGATGTCTTATTACATAGATAAGTTTCTTATAACCTGAAGTCTATAGTATAGACCAAGAGGCAATACATACATGAGCCTAGACAATGAGCAATGTCAGATTATTTCATCATGGAAGATGTTACTGCCAAGCCTGATTCTGTATTCATCCATTACTCTAATGTATATAGTGTAGGCCATGAATAGTGATTGGAACTTAGACTAATTTTCCTTCACCTATTCCAAAGATGCTGAACCCATTTAAAGCCCTTGACTGTTACTTCAGCTACAGAGCAAGCATTAAGCTTGGGACCTAGTCGTTATAGCTCAGTCACATGCTGCTTTTCTAAACGGTGCCTTTTGTGTAGCTCATTTTCTTTTAAAAATGACTGGAAAATTTGGAAAAACTGCATCTTCGCATCTAATTTATGTCTTCAGTTTTGATCTCTGAGAAACTTCAGTCTTGAAATGAAAAGTATGGAGGTGGAGCCTTACTAGAGATGTGCAAGATACCAAATGGAACACAAAAGATTAGTTTTCAATATCTTAAAATAAATCTTTACTGCACAATAATGGGGTGTAGAGATAAAGTGGTAAGAGGCATGCTCAGATTTAATGTTAAAAAGGACTTTACATAGACTGATTAATGTCTGGGATGTTCTATCAAGTGAACTGATATCATTCAACAAGCGTGCTAGAATCTTTCTCAAGCTTAACTTTGGTATGAATGGAATCCTCACCTGAACTCACCTTTGAAAACTCTGTCTGTCTTTACACAATGCATTTATGTTTATAATATGAATTTAACTTCTCTTGAGGCAGTACTTTACTGAGGCTATTCAGTACATGCCATTTAAGTAATACAAATTCACAATTGTTCATTGGTAGATATTGAATTGTCAGCTACTTGGTCATTTCACTAATGAGAATGGACCTCTTTTTTCTTAGTGTGTAGTCCATGTAAGTAATTGTATAATGGACCCACCATAGGTACGAGTTCATCGGGTTTGTGTTGACATAGTAAATTGATACGATAGCCACTGGCTGAGACTTTTAAACTATGAGGTCATCATTACCTTTCCATCTTTAATTCTTATCGATTGTAAAAGAGAGTTTTTCAATGAAAGCCCTTGGAAATGTTACTTATTTGGGACTAACCGACTTAAAAATAATCATAGAATCATTGCATATTTTATAACATATGAATAGGCAAGTTCCATCTATTTTTTTCAAAGGTTTTTGTCCAAATGAGCCACTTAGTATTCAATTGATATTGCACCATTTAAGTTGATATAGCACACTAAAGAAATATAGTGAAATGTAGCAAAAACCTTGGAAACTCACAGCTGACATTTCATAAAATCCCCTCGGGAGAAACCTTGCACCAAATATACCAATTACCTCCCAGTGAAGAAAATACCAATGAGATTTCACTTTTAGTATACTGTAAGGTAAATCAGAACCTACTTAAATGAAACACAAATTAACAGGTAAATTATTTTAGGTAAAAAAATAAGTTTCACTTTAATTAGTTGATGAAACAAAAATATGACATGTACAGCTATAAACATCCCCTTCAGCATGTGTATGGCAATGTACAATTACACAATACGGTGTTCTTCATTCACACATCGTGGGTCAGGAAGTTCTATCCAATAGCAGCTTTCACCTCTCTCACAGGAACAATTAATGCCAGCAAGGCACACTTCTATGACCTCTCTCTCCTTTAGGTCACTACATTCTCGATGGTTTGGCTTTTCAGAGTTCCTTTCTGACCAACAAACCAATAACACCTCATTTCACCTCTGGGGAGGAACAAAATCAGT